AGGGGCGCTTTCTCTGGGGGTTTTCTTCATAGACAAACAAGGACAGACTTCTTAAAAGCTGGACTTCATAGTGGGAAAGTCAAGTCACAAACAAATAACTATTTTCATGAAATTACTTTTAAATGTCCTGAAAAAACAACAAGTATGGGGACCTTTCAACAGTGACAAAAACTATGCTAAACCCCCCCTGCATTATTGCTTGACGTGTTTGCCATTCTTTTGGACAATCTCGGTCAGTGAATCGTGACCCATAACAACAACAATAAAAAAAATCTTCCATACGAAACCACAAAGCAAGGCAAGCTAAGGAGTGACCAGAAATGATTCATGGTTACGTATCAAGTTGAGGCAGTAAGAAGGCAAAAAAGATCACTAGTCTGTGAGACAACAATCAGATTCAGTATCCAGACATAGCTTGAAGTTACAGCTCTGCTTGACAAAACACAAAGCAAACAAGCTGTTAATTAGACTGGATAACTGAATAAATTAAAATGAATTTAATAGCTGGAGTAATGACTCTCCAACTATTTCTTGTTTGTCTTTTTTTCTGTCCTTCTGAAATATTTCTCCATTCTGTCAGATATATTTAAAGGCAACGCTCATCTAGCCATTTTAAAAACATACCTTTTTGGCTAAATGTACTAGCATTGGCGTGCTAACTGCTTAGATTGTCATATATAGTAAACAGAAGCTCTCCAAATATGAGCATAAAGTTATTGTAAGCTAAATGCTGTGTTTGCTTTACCTGAATCCTACAATGAGGGACGGTTCTTTCCTCACTGTCCTCTCTCAGGTGAAAAAGATGAAACAACAAAAAGATGTGTGCAAGTTTCTCAATCAGCAACAAAAATCACTTGCCTACAATTACTGTAAACACATCCTCCTGATTTAGGCTACTGACCGATGACAAATATTACAATGGTCAGTAGGCCAGTCAATGTTTCACAGTGTTGACGGTTGATTCAATGATTTATTCGTCATCATTCATTATTGTTGAATAGCCACTCAGCTCCTCGCTTCAATGCATCACACTGCCACACACAAATTCTAATACCCTATACCTGAACATGAAAAAGTTACTACTTGACTTTCATCGTATCTCATTTCATTGTCTTTGTCTGCATTATTGTATCGTGTCTTTGCTAATGCTTTGTGTTGTTTTTTTGATTGTTTTTGTTTATTTGTTTTTGCTTTTGTTGTGCACATTTTATGGTTTCCTGCTGACATCATCACCATTTAAAAAAATAATAATAAAGATTGTGTACATGGCATAGACTTTAGACAATGTCTGCTGAATCTTGATAAAATAATTCCAAAAAAAAAAAATTGGAGCGAACTTAAGTCCAAGATGATTTTTCATTTTTAATTAAATATTGGTCCCTTGCTTACTTGCTTACTGTATTTAATAATCCCAATGAATGAAATATTTCATTGTTCTTATGCACAGAGACAAAACCTGTGCAAAGTGATCTTTTTTTGTTTTGCTCAATTTTTCTTTAAAACTATTTTTGGAAAAATAACATGAGACAGTAATACGGCCGACAACTTGGGAGATACTTGATGCAACGTGAAATGTTCCTTGTATGGACAAAATCTAAATATAAGGTGCATGGCCAAATTCCAGTGCATGTTTGTTTTGCCCCTGTCACTTGAGACATTCAGTGAATGGATGGATGTGAACTTTACTGGATGTGACGTCCTTAACTCTGGCAGTCTGTTTAATCTCTCCCACGACGCTCAGTGACAGCGGGTTAGCGCAAAACAAAACATCTTCTGTGAAATGCAACTTTTTGCTTCTACTGTGCCAATTAAAGTGGTAGTTGTAACCTGACTGACTCTGGATCTGTGTATGTAGGGGTATTGAACAGTCAAAGTGGGAAGATGACACTAAAGGTACATATCCCTTTCCAGGAATATGCTTTTATTACTGAACTTTTAGATCTTTAACTTTTTGATCTATAGCATGCTTCGTTGTTTTGAGCAAAACGTTTATTTTGCACATTTAGTGATGACAGAATCCACCTTGATAAGTCATGGCTTCACTGCCTATTTGAGTGATCTTAGGCTATATATTTTTTTTTATCTTGGATGTAAGTGATGTTGTTTTGGGTTGTTGTTTTTTTTGGTAGCCGTTTAAGGTCACGTTATGAACTTTACATGGGGTGGCCTGTGCTGAGGGTGAACGCATTCTTGTCATATCTTCCTGGCTGGAGTTGCCTATAGTTGAAGATAAACTTAATTCCTCATCTGAAAGTAATGCGATTCTGGCAGAAATCCATCAGGCGTAGAAAGAACAGGTCTGTTTTCACACTGACTATGAGAAAGTTTTCCCACTAGTTTAACACAGATACGCCAGAGAGTGGAAAAGAGTTACATATGAAGATATGAAATATATAGCCTATGACTAGTGGGGAAGACACGAGGAGGAGACTTTTGAAGTGGGCAGATTTCGCAATGTTTTATACTTCCTTGTTGCGGGCGAGGCTTGACAGGGCAGCAACAACTTGAGGAATATCAGAGTCAAGTACGTCACAGTGACGACAGCTGTTTCGGTCCAAGACTTTCAAAATAAATCTTAACATGATCGTTGAGTGAGCAAATAAAAGTCAGTGGAACAGTTTAATATCTAACAACTAGTAATCAGTTTGTTTAGTTGAATGTATTGCAATAGCTACTACCTTAATTGGCACTGCTATCGCTATTGCTAGTTTCAATTTGTTTTGCAAAATGTTAATAAAAATAAATCTAATTTATATAAATGAAGTCCTGTAATGATGAGTTATTGGGGGTGACTATTTGTATAGGGTAGCCAAGCACACGTGTTAATCTAAAGACATATTTGGGCCAAAATCAGAAGAAAACTTAGATATGGTTAATTCGGTGAACTCTAAGGTTTTGATTGTAATGTGAGATATTTGTTGAGATTTTTTTATTTGGAAACGTTGTCATCGGAAAAATAATTATGCCTACATATGCTAATTGTATAATGCAGATTATCTCTGCTGTTTATGGCATTATGGTCAAATTGTTTTATGGGGAAATAATGCATAAATGAATGAGCTATTGTAATCGGTTGCCATCATTATAATTTATTATATTAATAATCTTATTTACTATTTATCTATTTTCATCAAAGTTTAAATATTTTATTGGCGATAGAGTTCAAGTGAATATAATCAAATCAGCAGTTCATTGTCAGACTAAAATAATCGATATTATATTTGATGATGCATCAAGTATATCAAGTATCAAGTAGCTCAACCACCTTCAGCTCAACGCCAGCAAGACAAAGGAGATGGTGATTGACTTCCGCAGGAAGTCACCCCAGACTGACTCTGCTACAGACTTTTTATGACACTGTGGTGGCGTCTGCACTTTTCTATGCAGTGGTCTGCTGGGGAGGAGGGAGCACAGAGAGAGACAGAAAGAGACTGAACATACTGGTCAGGAGGGCCAGTTCTGTCTTGGACTGTCCTCTGGACTCTGTAGAGGAGGTGGGTGAGAGGATGATGTTAGTGAAGCTGACATCCATCATGGACAACCCCTCTCACCCCCTGCATGACACTGTGGGGGCCCTGAGCAGCTCCTTCAGCAGCAGACTGAGACACCCACCCTGCAAGACAGAACACAACTGCAGGTCGTTCATCCCATCTGCAGTCAGACTGTTTAATCGGACTCTTAAACAACATCACCACCTCATGCTACACACTGTGTGTGTTTTTTTTAAGAACAAGTTACTGTGTAATTTTACATTATTGTATTTTTATTTTATTTTTTATTTTTTATTTTTTATTTAAATTATGTAAATATGTTTGATCTGTTTTTAACTACTATTTTTTATTTTCAATAAGTATATTCCCGTCCCCTGTTTTTCTGGAGCTGCTGTAATGCACAAATTTCCCCCACGGGGATCAATAAAGTTTATCTTTATCTTTATCTTTATCTTTAAGTAGTCACTGAAAGTACTACAAAACCTTTCAAATCTTTCATCACACTCACACTGCCTTCAATCAACCAGCTCCTGTGAAGAACTCTGTTTGTTTCAAGTTTGGCGCCCTCTGTGGACAAAGGGGTACATTTTATCTGGGTTTTTTTTCCTATAGAGTATAGACTATAAACTGTTTTCTTATTTGTACACAGTGATGGCGTATTTTGTGGGTGGAGCCCAAGTGGTGGCAGAAAGTTGCTAGCTGTGTTGAATTACCTGATGACGCTGAACATCCTGCTCTGTTTGCGTCCCGTTTATAAGAATTCATCACTGCCCTCAGATACATTAATGTTATAGGAAAGAGTTGGTGGAGTCACAAAGTACATTTATTGGTGAAATTTTAAAACCAGCACAGTTGTCGTTATGAATTTAAGGAAATTAAGACTGCTTGTACTTACATACAGTCTGAAACAGACATGGGGTCTGAGGGACGTGTTAAAACAGCTTGAAAGTAGAGTGGAAGGATGTGCTCACTGTGTTAACGTGTGACACAATCTGTACTCTGTACTCATCATAACAGCGCGTTTTTACACGTTTTGTTCAACTTTACTATTGGACAACAATAGTAGCCTATTGGAAACAGACAGGAAGGTTTTCTTAATGAGTCCCCACTGTTTGCATTTGCCAGTTAAACTGTGACACTGGACATCATCGTATACCTGGTGGAGAAAACCCAAAGTCTAAAACTCTTGATGCATGCAATTTTGTAGTTTGTGTTCATGTCCAGGACATTAAAAGGCCTACTGACATTTCTGAGATGGTTTTGTGTATTAGGGGCCATCATACTGCCTAGCCAGCTACAAAGACATAAAATTGCCTACATCTGCATTTTGCATCCAAAAGTGTCAACAATGGTATTCCATATAATTCAGTGAGAATTGTAATCTGTTATAATCACCTTAAAGCTTTAAGTGTTTGTCCCTAATGGCACGCTTTTATTTTGAAGGTGAGTGTAAGACGTGTTTGTGTATGTGTCAGTGTGCTTGACGTAGTCCAGTCTCTGTGTAAACTGTGTGCCAGTGAGACCGCGGCGCTGACAGGTGAGAGAGCGCTGCCGCAGGTCATTGAGAGGCGCTTCACGAACACGGGAATATAAAAAATAAAATCACATTTTGGATCTCTTTGAGAGGCGAAAACGACATCCCACTGCTTTACAACGCGAGGTAAGAAGACGTTCCTTGTCTTTCTTTTTTTGTTTTTGGGGTGGGTAGGGGGAATGAAAGATGTCTCAGCTAGTTATTGGTCCTTGTTAATGAATGATTAAACTCATGATAATTCACATCCCTCCAGCTTTGCCAGGTTTGCTAACTTAACTTGTTATAAATACATCTTTACCTAAGTATTGTAACATTCAAATTTAACTTTAACACCTTTGTTTGGCAGTGTTCTTCTCGTGTTTGAAACTTAGTTGACTGTAGCACATTAGAATAACTACCCTACTGAATTATCATAGCATTCATTGTGATATATGTACTATAACTTTTTGACAATATTAAGCTAAACTATCCTCCTGTGTATATTCTGTGAATGACGGATGCTGGAGGCCTGAACATTTCCAAAGTTGCTCCACATGTTGCAGCAGGTCTGGTCTTGCCCACTGTAGATTTTATCTTGACTATTTCAACTTATTATTTTTCCATCAGCTCTAATAACCTTATATCTTAAGTGTTAAAGAAATTAATTTAATTTGAGGAATCTTCTTGATTTTGAGATTGAAGAGAAATATACAGCAACCACAAAATGACCATACTCTTGAGAGAAAACAGCAGCTTTTCCTCTAACACAGTTTAAACAAGCTAAAATATTTACATATTCCACCTCCACTTCACTTCACTTCTTGTTTTCCCAGCTCCGCCTGCTTCTCCAGGATGTTCTCTTTGAGGAAAGGGTCTCATAGGTAGCACTCAATCATCTTTGGACGGTGACGTGGAGATGGTCACTTTGGCTGCCTTGCTGACAGTATGCATATGGATACAAACACAGACTGCTTCAGGACAGCACACATGTGCTTCTACTCCACGCAGTTCGCTGGATTACACTGTAAAATACTCCCTCCCCTATTTCCAAACAGACAAACCCATACAAAACATAGCAGTGAATGGGACTTTGGTAGAGAATGGGGTGTATGTTGCGAGCCAGAATGTAATAGAGGCACTTAATTCTACTTTGGACAAGATATGGGAGGTAAAAACTGGACCTGTTGGCAGTGCTGAATGTGAAACCTGTCAGGTGTGTGACATAGAAGCAGATCCTGGAGATCCTGTGGATACAGACAATAAAGTTCTAGTTATTGATTTTGCTGTCTTCCCCAATCCCTTTTTGTACATCTGTGGGAGTACTCATCATGGGATTTGTCAGGTCATTGATACTGGCTTTTCAAAACCGGAGCCCAAGTGTTTATATAAAAAAGAGAACAATTATCCTACAAGCTGTCCGGACTGCCTGGCAAGCCCACTTGGCACCAAAGTCACCATCGGTGAACAGGGATTCATATCACTCTTCTTCGTGGCAGCCTCTGTCAATGGTGAAGTGGCACAGAGGTATCCCAGGAGGTCAATATCAGTGATGAGGCCATTTGCTACTGAAGACGGCTTTAAGCAGATCAACAAGGGACTAACAGTGCTCCCGAGTCTGCAGGACACATACAAGATTGACTACATCTACAGCTTCTCCACCAAGGACTACGTCTACTTTCTGTCCCTGCAGAGAGAAAACCCATTGAGGAGCAACTCAGCTTTCCAGACTCGTCTTGGACGCTTGCCGATTGCAAACCCTGAGGAGTGGATGTACAAGGAGGTGGTCCTGGAGTGCAAGTATGACCGAAAAGGCAGGAGGAGGAGAAGAAGAGAGGCGCCCAGGAACATAGTGTACAATGGGCTGCAGGCAGCATATTTTGGGCCAGCAGCGAAAACGTTGATAAAGGAGCTGGGGTTGAAGGAACCGGAGAATATTCTGTACGGAGTGTTTGCAGAGGTGAACGAGAGCGGACAACCTCAGAAGAACTCAGCATTCTGCGCCTTCCCTTTGTCTTTAGTGAACAAAGCCATTACTAAAGGTGTGGATGCCTGCTGCACATCAGGCACAGAGCAGCTGTCCAGAGGTCTCTGTCACTTCCAGCCATGCGAGAGCTGCCCACATGAAGTGAGTAACTTTTTTTTTTAATGGCAGAGGAGCAAAGGTCCCTGTACGCCCAGACAGGAAATGACCTGTCCAGACAAACATTGTGTAATGTAGTTGCATGAGATCCAGTGTAGTTTAGCATTAAGAGTAAACAGGCTTGAGCAATAAGGGATCATCAGAAGGGGAAGAAAAAAACCAAGGCACTCTTTTTGAAAAAGAGCAAGAAGCCTTTACTCGACTTGTTATTTCACAATGGAAATGCTTTAATGGCTTTATAAAAATGAAGGAACACTTGTTCTGTTTATTTTTTTTGTTTCACATTTCAAACTCAAAAGATTTGGCTCACAGGGCCCCTTTCACTCTCAGACAGACGCACCTCAATCTTTCCTCTGGCCTTCATTTCTGTCCTCCAGTTCCCCTCACTGCCTTAATTAAGGGCCAATTCTAAGCTTAGAGTTAAATATTTCATGGCCATCAGTCCTGGAGAATGACAGAGTTTGAGGGGACAAGCTGAGGGCTTGTTTTTTCTGTTCCTCTTGTCTCAGTACCCCCCAAGGACTGCCTTGTCATTGTTCTTTTTTGTGTAAAAATTATAATTTAAATTTGACAAGATTAGCAAGATAATTTCATGAATCAAAAATACAAAATAAATGTAAATGTAAGAATAGCAGAAAGCCAACCCCAGAAGAAAATAAAGAAAGAAACAATGCTGCTCGTCTCCATGGTTACATTGACACATATTAACATTGGAATGTTATCTGCCATTAATTTAAAAGTTATAAAGATACTTATACAAATAATACATACCTAAGTTACTTTTATATAGAAAAATATAGCCTACATATGTATTGATAATCACCAGTAAAAACAATGACTGTCTTTGTTTTCCAACATTTTGAATGTCCACATTCCCAATCAAAGAAAACGTTCATCACACTGCTTACACTTCTGAACACTCCAGACTCTCTTCTTTTTTCATTACAGATAGTTTATTTTAATTGGCACAAATCTTGAATACTAAAATATTGTTCGCCTGTGGCATCTCTGCTGAAGGTGTGTGTGTGTGTGTGTGTGTGTGTGTGTGTGTGTGTGTGTGTGTGTGTGTGTGTGTGTGTGTGTGTGTGTGTGTGTGTGTGTGTGTGTGTGTGTGTGTGTGTGTGTGTGTGTGTGTTTGCGTGCATGTGTGTGTGTGAGAGGGAGAGAGAGTCGAGCCAGATGAGAGAACTGGGAGGGGTGGATGAGTCAGTAGTGTGACCTGCGCGTTGCCACATCGTTTCTCTGCTCTGTTAAGTTTCAGCCTTTCTCAGAGAAAAGGCCGTTTACAGCCCACAGATTAGATTTCCTTAAAAAACCGGATACATGACAAGGCTTTTTTTTAATTTTTAAACTTATATCCCTGCACCTTCACCTTTATGCCAGAAAGGAAAAAGGCAGCTTGCTTGGGCAAATACTTCTAAAACCGTGCACTCTTTAAAGCAACATCATTGAATAGAGCATTTGGCGTTGGTGCTCTGCAAAATAATAAAGGTGTGGTCTTGTTTCCCTTTATGGAGTTCAAACTGTGTCCTTTGAGCTCACACAGCCGTGTGTACACCTCCAGGAATGCGTGCCAAGAAACACAGTTATAAATCCTGCTGATAAAAAGGTGGAATTTCAGGGGGGAGGGACAGTGTTGGACAGTGCCTCAGCTTAGTGTTTTATTGGTGTAGGAAATAGATGGAATACTGAAGATATGAAGATTTGGTCTATCAATTAATCATGGTTGAATCTGTTGATACTGTACTGTATGTTACTGTTTGTGATCAAATTACATGAAAATAGGGCATTGAAATAGTGGTGCGCACACAGGGACATGTTGGGGCAGGTCAACTTAATTGCTTTGCTGAGGAATGTTTACCATATGTCACACTTTATTGGCTAAAACATCTCATCCACTCACATCTGTTAGCTTGTGTTTGATGTGTGTAAAGCCCAGTTTCAGTAGTAGACAGTCTGTAATAAAGAAAACAAAAAAACAGTCCCCATGTCAACATACTGAGCTAAGGTCACTGCTGTTTTATGACCTTGTTCCTCTCACAGCTTATGACTGTGACTCGAGGCAAAGCTGGAGGACTTCCTCCCTATAAGGATGAATGAAGAGTCTCTCTCTCTTTATTGCTCCAGCTCAAGTGTCGGCATGTTGTTTATATGTGCATTGTGCACAGATGTAAACTGAGGCTGACAGAAGAAGATACTTACAGTTTAATTTATATATGTGTTTCCTGTTTCTGCCTAAACCCTAACATCCTTGTTTTTCATGTTTCTCCCTCTTGTGTAGAGCTCCGAGGGTAATGAAACGTGCACTAACAAACCCACTCTGGTGTCAAAGTCGTACTACAGACTGGATATCTTCAACAGCCAGATGAGAGACGTCCTTTTCACTGCTGTCCTGGTCACCACTTTTGAGGATCAGACTATTGGCCACTTTGGTACCTCAGCTGGACGGATACTGCAGGTAGCAATAGATTAATAATGATACATTTTAAGGATCTCAGACGTTTTGTCCATTGCTCACGATAAACAACACATCCAAGCTTTGCATTTGTATGTTAACTACAAGAAAACGGTTCCCCAAAATGGAAATCCTTAACATGACCACTGTGTTTTGTACATATTTTAGGTGATTCTTAGTGTGAACGCACCAAATGTTTTCGCCAACTATTCTCTTGAAGGATCGGAAGTGTCCAGAAACGCAGCTGTATACTCTGAAGAGTCACTTCTCTTTGTAGTTGGAAATAAGGTAACGTTGGATGCATTTTTCTGATAGGGTCAAGAGAAGACAGGAGCATATTGAGCAAATGTTTTTGGCCTCCACAGTGCAATAAAAAGAGGTGGGAGTCCCAACGATACGATATTATCACGATACTCAAGACACGATACAATTCTATTGTGATTTTTAACATTTTGCGATATGCTTAGAATTGTGATACAATATATTACAATTAAGCTTTTTATGTCCACTACACTAAACTAAATTAAGAACTTTTTTGTCAAATAAGATAAAATTATCAGTCCCTTCATCTTACTTCCGTCTTTTTATTTGTATTTAAGTCTCATTGAACTTTAACATGAATTCTTAACAATGTTATAATATCGCTACACAAAATATCGCGATACTATACTGTATCGATTTCTTGACCCACCTCTAGCAAACTGACCAACAATTTGATGCCATTGTGTATTCATCAGAGTCAATTAAAACATATACAGTCTACTCAGAATGTGTACAATGTGTATTGGGTAATTAGTTGAACAGGATTTCAGGTGTTTATGAAAACAGATCCAAGTGTGTGAGTTCGATCCTAGTGCCACACCCTGCACATTTTAGTCATGTCATTGACACAGGGCAGACAGCTACAAAAAGTAAAAGTCATCCATCATGTAGAGGAAACATGACAACTTGAAAGGCTTAACTGTGTTAGGAGTGTGTCTGGGAGAGTTATAGATCGCCCTCAGCTTTTCTAACGCTCTATTCATGCTGCAGAGATGTTGTTAACCTATGCCAAAATGTCGTGCAGTAGCCTGGTCTGTGTTTTATACTTGTTTTTTTTTTGTTTATTTTCTTTTTGCCAGATGTTCAAGGTGCCCACTACAGGTCCAGGGTGTACACATTTTACGACATGCTCCAAATGTTTGGAGGCCCCACTCTTCATGAACTGCGGCTGGTGTTCGGGAATCTGCTCGAGGCAGCACGAGTGTGCCTCTCAGTGGAACAAAAACTCTTGTCCGCCTGTCATAACAGAGGTAGATCTGCCAGTGTTAAGTGTAACTGATTAGCTAATGAATGAAGTTTTAAAGATGAGTCATTAAGTAACACTGGCCACAGCGATTGTCCTGCATGCTAACTGAAAGTTAACTCTTTCCTGTGCAGTTTTACCCCATGGTGGCTCCTGCCGGCGGAGAGACGGAGGTAACACTGTGTGGCTGGCAGTTTCGCTCCCCTCTGCCTCCCGGCAACATAAGCAGGGAAACTCATGTCATCACATTGGGCTCAGGGACCTCTTGTGCTGTTGACCCTGATAAGAGCAATAGTGAAAAGTAAGTAGCCTACATGCAATGTAGTTCAGAAGTTTTAGGCACCGCAAGCCACAAGTAGAGATGAAAACCAGGGAAGACGAGTTAACTGAATTTTAAAAATGAAAAAAAGTTCAAACAGGCTTCTCAAAGAAAATGTACAGAAGCGAGATGTGTTTAAGGAAATACCTTATATAAGTCTATGAGGACCTTTTAGTCTTTCCCACATTTCAGTGAATAATAGCAATCATGTTTGACAATTTTTTTAAAAGAAAGGAAAAGTTATTTCAGACTTCTTGTCTGTGTCTTTGATACAGGCTGGTATGCAAGATCCAGGAGCACAGTCCGAACGAGAACCTCACCATCACTCTGAATGTGCACGAGGGGGGAGGGAAGGGCCAATACTCCATCGAAGGCATGGCTCAGATTTCTGGCTTATCTCTTGTGGTGAGAATCATCCGTTTTCATTTCATTTCATTTCATTTTACCTTTATTTATTCTCGAGAAATCATTGAGGGCAAGCCCTCATTTACAATTAGGTCGAAAGTACAATTAAAACGAATAAGAGACAAAAAAAAAACAAAAAAACAACAAAGACAAAATACATAGATTATAAAACCAGAAGAATAAGCAGTAAGCCGGCAACTACAGTTAATAACATTTACACTCATGAGTACAGTGAATTGTGATCAGGTTTTTAAATTGGTCCATGGTAACCATTGTATTGAGTTTTAACTCATTTAAACCAGTTGTTCTCTACGTGTTGCCTAATGGACCTGTCACCTCTGTGTAATCAGGAGCCCAGCATAACAGAAATTAGGCCTGACTATGGCCCTGTGTTTGGAGGAACAACCGTTACACTGACAGGCCGATATCTAAACTCTGGGATACAGAGAGATGTCTTCTTGGCTGACAAAAAGTGCAACATCCAAAGGTAAGAAACACTGAAGACTCTTTCTTAAACACAACAGACAGATGGGTTTCTACAACACAATCATTTAACTATGGTTAGATGTATCTCTAATTGCCCACGTTCAATTAACGCAACAGCTGCTCTTTTCAGCGCTCCTGAGGGAAGTGGAACTCTGTCCTCAATCGTCTGCAACACAGAAGCTGCGGCAGGTGTGGGGAACGTACCTGTTAAAGTCTTGATCGACAAATTTCAAGTTAAGACTGCCAAGAAATTTTTTTATAAGAACAACCCTAGCATAACCTCTGTAGAGCCTCTCTGCAGTTTCCAAAGGTAGGACACTGACCCCAAGATTGCTGTATCATGATAACACAAAGTACGTTTGTGCACAAAACCAAGTCATTGTTATTAATGGCACACTCGTCTGTTCTTTCACACAGTGGCTCCAAGCTGGTGATAGAAGGTCAGAATCTTGACTCTGCACATAAAACTGTGGTTCAGTACATTTCGAGATCGCCCCACCTGCAGTCACTTGAACAAGTGAGTTCACTCATGAAAGATACAGTATTCATGTAAAATGCTTCAGTTTCAGTTGAATTCAAATGCAGTGAGAAAAGATTAAGCTTGGCCAGCCATGCTTTATCTTTAGCCATACACTGCTTTTATATTCTAAGATTCTATTCTAGTATTTGTGATCTCAACAATATTTCTCTTCAGGTCTGCAATGGTACGAAGAATGCAACCCATATGGAGTGCTGGGCCCCTGCTTTTCCTAAGGAAATGCCAGAAGACAAGTCTTCTGGGGAGATTCTTATCCACATGGATGGAAAAAGACAGATCTGGAAAAAACCTTTTGAATACCACCCCGATGTCAAAGTCATTCCGTTTGAACATGATGACAATTTATTACCTTTAAAACCAGGAGATACAGAAGTTTCACTGCATGTATGTTGATTCTCTCTCACAGTCCTTTCATATTTATTTATTTATGTATGTATCTGCCATGTTGCATTAACATCTTAACAATACTTACAGAAATAATACCAATATGTCTGAATTTCTCTTAATATAACTGCAGCAAAAATAATCATCACATAACTTTTAAACATCTTTTTTTCCCCATATTTCTCAGCATGAAAAACTGAGCACAGTCAGCACATGCATGAAGATCGTAATGACCATTGCAGGTGTGAACTGCAACGCCAAGGTTCTTTCAAATGAGCTCACCTGCAGGATCAATAAAGGCATGGTTATTCCCAGCGAGGGGTTACCTGTCAGGGTGAGAAAGACTGCCTCTAAACCATCAACCTGTATATATATGCTGTGTAAATTCATACCAGACAGTAATCATTTAGTGTTCCTCTCCTGTAGGTGTCTGTGAATGGAGTCGTTCATGATGTGGGTACAGTAGTGAACGATGACACCAACCAGGCGACTGTGATCTCGGGCATTGTGCTGGGCATCCTGGCTGCTTTGGTAATAGGTGCTGGCCTTGCATTAGCAGTGATGATGCATTTGAAGAAGAAAAAGAGAGGTGAGAAAATGCAGCTCTTAACTTATAGATTTTTAGAAAATTATACTGCACAATTGTGTTTATTCATTCAGTACTATTTTGAAGTTGTTTCAATTTGTCCTTTGAATCCTCCAGCCAACATAGAGAATCGGTTATCAACAATGCTTTCACACAACCGCATGGGCAGTGCCAATAATTCATCCCCGACGGGCGACTATAGACGAGGTGGGACAGCCAAATGAATGAATTCATAAATACATTTTTACCGTCAATCCCTTCTGCTTTTTTGTTTGTTTCATCCCCTTTCTAACCCTGAAATAACCCTGTAGCAGCTCTTTGAACCTGTTTATTTATCTATATTTCTGTCAAGTATTTTTATTTTGAAAAAAAAAGTTAAATTCCTTGATGGCTTAATGGTGAAAAAAATACAAACAAAGTAAGGGGTAAGTCGATAAATAAGCTGAACCATAAAGGGTCAAATATTGGATAATATTTTTTTTAATCAATTAGCTTCCATTGTTCATTATATTTGATGGACTAATAAGAGAGGTTGCAATTATCAGAAATGTTGAGGTCATTTTTTCCATCACAACTAAAGCTTCCTCTGCACACATGGATACAAATGAATGAATGAATTATATTGGAGTCAAAGCTAATTAATCTGTCAAACTAAATTAAATCTGTTTGGGAAAGCTGATATGCAAAGATTTGATGACTTAAAAGTAGAAGAACTTTTTGTAATGTGTGTCTTTCCTGGTGTGTTTCAGTCGATCTGTCCAGTCAAGCATCAGGCTCAGGAGGAATGGCTTTTCACGGGTTAATGTACGCTGCCAGCTACGATCATCTGGCCATCCCTCTAATGCCCCGAGACAATCTCTCCATGATCAGTCTGAGTTCTGACCTTCTCGAGGAGGTCAAAGACGTCCTCATCCCTGCTGACATGCTCCGGATCGAAGATAGTCAGATTATTGGCAAAGGTCAGCCTTGTGCTTTTTTTTCAATCTTTGTTTGTTTTTCTCTTTGAATATTGGAGCACAAAATGAGAATAAAACTCACATTTTGGTCTCATTCAGGCCACTTTGGAACAGTTTATCATGGGTACCTGATAGACAGCAGCAAGAAAGAGACCCACTGTGCTGTGAAATCGTTAAACAGTATGTGAATACTCATTTTATAACTGCAATCATCATTATACAAGCTTTTGGTTGTTGGATTCATCTGTTTAACAGTAAGTGATGTATTTGACAGGGATCACAGATGTTGGGGAGGTGGACCAGTTCCTCAGAGAGGGCATCATCATGAAAGGTTTCCACCATCCAAACATACTGTCTCTGCTCGGCATCATGCTGCCCAAAGAAGGGCTCCCTCTGGTGGTGCTGCCGTACATGAAGCACGGGGACGTTCGTCATTTCATCCGCTCTGAGAAAAGGGTAAAAAAAACACTAGGAAACTTTCTGGATTAGAAGGGTCATTCATATTTGCTCTTTTAAATGCTGTAATTAACTGCTTCAAACCTACTCTGGCTCTGTTGAACGTGTATTCTGTCCTCCACAGAACCCAACAGTGAAAGACCTGATTGGCTTTGGGCTTCAGGTTGCAAAGGGTATGGAGTATTTAGCAAAGAAAAAATTTGTCCACAGAGACCTGGCTGCTCGTAACTGCATGTGAGTGTGAATCATAAATCAATTACTGCTCAGTAACTTATACTAGAAGACACTTTGACACAACTCAAATTACTGAACATGTTTAATAACTTAAGCAACCAATACTGCAGTGTTGGTATGTATTTGGATTTTGTTAACTGCAGTACTGATTGCATGGCCAAGCATTACCAGAATAATTCACAACTGCAAATTAATCTCAGTTTATTATTGTAAGCAAGGGGTTGCAGACCAAAATGCCACAACCATCAGGGCGGTATAATGCTTGACATGGCAGTAAGGCTCGATTTATAAATTTAGGATCCAAATTCATATGGTTTCTAGTTCAACATAAAACACAGGAGCTTGGTATGGCATGATTTAGATTAGATTAGAAAACTTTATTTTTAGCAGGGAAACTCATTTGCCGCCTGGTAGTAAACAACCACCACAAGCTGCTTCTATGTAGTGAAAAATATCATTGAGTTCCTTTAATTAATACGAATGTTTGCTGATGTCAGGCAACTAAAAACATTAAGACACATTGTTCAAATCTTTAGGAATACTCTTACTGTTGTATCTTTTATTTTGTCTTTATCATAAAACATTTCTATTTCAGGTATTTACATTTAATCAGGTTAATGAAGAGAAGTTTGCTCTGATGAGCCAACAAAATACAAAGTAATCTCTCTGCATCTCACAAGTGCATGGGAAATCTTTAATGAGACCCTCAACGCTTATCGTAGTTCACCTGGCTCCTCTTGTGCCCACCATGAGGTAAGAGTTATGCTTTCTCAACAGTAGTTGACAGGGGTGTTTTCTTTCATTTCAGGCTGGACGAAACCTTTACAGTGAAGGTGGCTGACTTTGGCATGGCTAGGGACATCTATGACAAAGAGTACTACAGCATTCAGGATCACAAACATGTGAAGCTGCCTGTGAAGTGGATGGCCATCGAAAGCCTGCAGACACAAAAGTTTACTACCAAGTCTGATGTAGTGAGTATACTTTTATCATTCCTCCTGAAATAACGCTCATCCAACATATTCTGTATCTGCAACACATCACTTTCTTGTTTCCCAGTGGTCATATGGCATCTTAATGTGGGAGCTGCTGACAAGAGGTGCTAGCCCGTATCCAAATGTGGACCCCTATGACATCACACACTACTTACTGAAGGGGCGTCGTCTTCCTCAGCCACAGTTTTGTCCTGATAGTCTGTAAGAACCACACATGCACTCCTTAAAAAGCCCCTGATGGGTTCACACTATTGTCTTACCTTGAAATGATTTAAGTTTTATCAGGCGCATTAATAACAGTGATTATGAATCAGTTTCTTCTGAGTCAGAAAGATATTTTCAAGCCAACAACTCTTCCATCGTTCACTCGTTTACCCGTTTTTTCATCCCACAGCTTTTCTATCATGCTGACATGTTGGGACCCGGAGCCTGAATGCAGACCCAGCTTCAGAAGCCTGGTTTCAGTAGTACAACACATCCTTTCCTGTCTCGAGGGAGAGCACTACATCAGTCTGAAGGTGAACTATGTCAACTTAGACCAGCCGAGACCTTACCCTTCCATGACTGGATCTGCAGATGAGGCTGAGGCCTCGGACTCTGAGGAGGAGGAGGAGGAGGAGGAGGAGGAGGAGGAGGAGGAGGAGGAGGAGGAGGACTGTCATGCTGCCAGCTGAGGGTGTCAAAACCCGAGGACTCTCTGGCAGGAAAATTGGAATCGGGATTTAATTTGAAGAGCACACAAAAAGACCCCACTTTGGCCTGGATCTATTTTTAACATCATAAAGATTTTGAATAATGCCTGGAAGCCTATGGAAGGTTTAGCTGCTGATTTAAAAGACACTGCAGAAAGTTTCAAATCTTATTTGAGCAGATGACTGTCCCCAGAACTGTTCTGGCTCTCCATTAGTTCCAGAGCTCATGCTGAAAGGCTGCAGGGAACTATCCCAGCTATCAGAGGAAAAAATAAAGAGAAAAACAAGCATTCACAGACAAACATTCACACCTATGTTAGTAGTCATGGAGTTATCAATTAACCTCAACTTCATTTCTTTGAACTCTGAAAGGAAGCTGAACTAACTGGAAACAACCCATCCAGGTACGAGGAGAACATGAAGGTGTCAGCCAGCGGTAGGTTTGAACTCAGAACCTTTTTTCTCAGAGTTCAAAATACAGACAGCATGTTGAAAATTGTTGTTTATTTGTTCAAACAACTAAAGCACAAGTGTGAAAGAAATGAAATGAATGTAAAATGCGCTTTTGTTCTCATATTTATAGACTAGGATATTGGGTTATATGAGACTATCTCGTCATCATATAAGACTGTTAGAAAAGGGGGCTTTAAATGCTGATATGTGGTTGTGAACATGTGTAATAATTGAACTAGTCTCAGAAGTACTCGGTCTACTCCGATTTCGAACCACAGATACTGAAAAGCTCTGCAGCCACTGAATTATACATCGAGCTGTCAGTTGGCTCAGACGTCAGCTGAGGCTTACAAACAAATGTAGTACATCTCGTCACCACTAGAGGGCAACAAATGCCTCCTGCTGAAGCATGAGCTGCTTCTGCTGCAGTGATGCTCTGCACTACAGCAGACAGCTCAGCACAAAGGTGTTACGCAAACAACACACCTATAATCATCTTCACCTCAGTGCAACTACGTCAGCATATCATTCTGTCCATGTCGCACAGTTTCCAGAATCTCTTTCATTTTCTGCATTTAATTGAAATGATCTCCACAATAAATCAGCCAATCCAAGATCTCATAATTCATGCACTGATTTTTTTGTTTTAACTTAAACAGACAATGCTTACAAATATAGTTTACTGACTATCAAGCTTTCCACTGGGATTCATAGATTTGATGGTTTTCTCTCCTTCCATACAAGACAATCATGAGTGTTTTTTTTCTTTGTTCTATATTGCACTGAAAAGAGTTTTGTACAGGCAAAGAAATGATTGTCAATACTTGCCTCTAAGAGTGTTAAGAACATTAAAAGTCTTCCTGCACTTGTTTTTCCTTGAATGTGAATTAAATTCTATCTTCTTTACAGTTTTTTAGGCGGTGTGTGTATTCTAATAAAAATGCAGATTAAGTGCAGCATAGGACGGTCCAATAGTTCTTCATGAAAGCTAATCATCAAAGCCTTTGAAACAAACAAAAGATGCTGAATGCAACGGTAGTGGTGGGAAGCAGTGCAGCTCTTGTTCTCTGCCAGGTGGATGAAAGAATTAAAAAAAAAAAAAAAACATCCAACGTTACAGGTCTGCATTATAAACCCAAGTAAAAACTGCATGCTTCTGCCAAATCTTTGTATCTAGCATTTGTAATACTCTATGAATAATTTATAGATCTATAAAAAGCTTCTTTTTTTGTTCCTCTTGCCTTCAGGCTCTGAAAAGGTGGCGGTATTACTGACGAGCTCTGGATGTGTTTAGATAGGGGTTCAGGATTTCAAAGTGAGGTGAAGTTTGCACCTTGTTCTTTTTGCTTTGAAACAATTATCATGTTTGTGTTTCTGGTTTAATTTAAATTATCCATAAGCCCACATAGTGTGTATTGTGCTTCAACAAATCTGATGATCCATTTGATTTATTCCAGCTCTCTTTTTAAGATATTTGTATTCTGCAAATGTGAAAAGGAGACGAGGAACCTGAATGAAAGGTAAAGACAGAAAATCAACATTGTGAGCAGCACATGAACCCACAGTGGGGAAAAGATGCACTTTGTTTTCGTTCCATAAAAGCTTCCAGATATCAGGAAGTAACCTTGAGTCTACAAATACAAAAATTGCTTTGGAAAAGTATGTGCACAAGTTTGTCCTCCAAGTCTTTTCAATGACAACTCTTAATTAACTTGCCAGTGCAGTTTCTGGGATCCGCTATAAAATCCACTCTATGATGAAAATAGAATTTGGCATCAAACAAAGATGCTGGTATTAAATTTAATGCTGGAAATGAAAACTGGGGTCTGCATATGTTTCTAATGATTTGATATTTTTGAGTCATTATATTTTGTTCATTGTTTTCTGTGAAAGCACAGAACAAAGGTTGTTTTGGCCGGGCAAATACAAAATGTGATCCTGTACTATTATGTCTTCATTTAGAGAGAGAAGCCATCATTTACAATGATGCAGATGCAAATAATAGAATACAAGATAAAGAATGATATAAAAATATAACATAAAGCAATGCATTCAGGTATTCTACTGTGTGTGTGTGTGTGTGTGTGTGTGTGTGTGTGTGTGTGTGTGTGTGTGTGTGTGTGTGTATGTGTGTTTGTGTGAGATGTTCTGCTCTGGGATAATCTGCTATGTTTGTTATAGTTTATGTTTGTATTACTATGTGATGCTTTAATTGTGACCTGCCGAGGGACTGCAGATGTAAACTAGCTCTAAGCTAACTCTGGTGCAATGCATCAAATGGCAACATTTATGTTTAATATTGTACATGGTCCCTTTAAAAATAAAAAGTTAAGTAAGTAATATAAAGAAAAATGATCCGTTGAAACTGACACACAATAAGTAATATCATTAAAACCTCATTAACACTGGTGCAATCAGAGGTTAAGAAGATAACAATTAAGGGTTTTAAATGACCATTAATAACCAGTGCATTGATCTTAAAAGTGCTTTGTAGTGAATTCCAAGCGGACCGTGCAAAGAAGGCAAAGGCAGATCTTATGAGCTCTGAAAGAATTCTGGAGCGTTAGCCATTCATGAGATCTGGTTTAAAGTGCTCCAGAGGACCAGACTAGCATGGAGGAAATGTAAAAAGGAAGCATCCCAATAAGTGATGTATGCAAATCACATCTCTCAGAAAGAGAGAGAGAGAGAGATCCAACCTTTTTGTACAGGACGCAGTGAGGAGTGTTGTTAACATCACCTGTAATTGCAGAATGTAAAACTGCATGAAGAGGTTTTGACGTTGTAGCCGAAGCATGCCTGTACAAAATGTCAACATAATGTAACACAGGTTAACTAATTATAAATGTTAAGTTTGTGTAGATAAACAGCTATGTGACTATAATTTTACCAGCTGCTTAATTTAACAAAAGTATGTAAGACCAATGTTTGAATGAATGGGTCCCTTTTATCAATAGTTATTTAGACAATGAACTTACAAAAAACTTGTATCCTGGCCTCTGCACAGCTTTACATCCACGATCACAGCTTTGCACTTTTTCTATTCTTAGCCTCATGTACCGTGTTCATGAATGGAAGGTAATGATAATCAAAAATTATTTTTTTACCAACTGTAACAGTGCTCATGCAATCACACATCATAATGGCAGGTGTGTGATTGCAGAGATGGTTTAATGCTTAATAAATGCTGTATAATTGACTATAATTACACTTTAAACAATTCCGTACTTTAAATGATGACTGACTTTGGCTGACACTATATATGCATGTATGTGTTTCATTTCATGCACTTGAACACTGAGGCTGACCTACAACAGTCTTTAGGCTCTTATAATGTTTTAATGTTAATATGTACACTTTAGAAAGATGTGAGCTTGCAAATACAGCAGCTGAACCACATCATTTGTTTTATGGCACATTATATATTCTAAATGTGCCATAAATCCAACTCAAATGACATCGCAAGGATTATTTCCTGGCTTAAGAAAACTCCTTCATCACACATAAACACTATTTCACAGGCTGAGTAGTCTAGAAGAAGAGAGAGTCAATGTTCATGGTTAAAATTCCTCTTTAAAGACATCTGTCGCTGAAGGAACACATATGTACTGAGAAATGATTTTACACTGAATGTATGGGTTAATGGATAAACTGACACACACACACACACACACACACACACACACACACACACACACACACACACACACACACACACACACACACACAGTACCCTATACAACCCCAGCAGCTCAGTGAGGAGGAATATCTGCACTGAACAAGCAGAGAGCAGATCCCCAAAGTGTCTTGTCTAAAATTCCTTTTGTTGCCTTCAAGTGTATGTATTTATAAATATTTTACACTTTTATTTCACACTGTCCTGATTTTCAAGCAGGGTTTAGTTGGAATCTGCAAAACTGAAAATATTATGCAGCAGCTGTTGTGTGATCCATGACAAACTGGACAAGGAAAAAGAAACTGTGGCTTGCTGTTTCCTGTCAAGACTCATGTAAATTTGTTCTCCACAGTTTAATCAGGAACACCGGAAAAAAAATTCTGCTTAGGACAGCCAATTAGCACTCACAGTGGAGTCGCCAAAACCATCGACATGTTCATATTAGTCTGAGATTCATTTACATGCTTAACGGAAATGATACAGTCATTCAGCGAGCTTTTGGCATTCATGGTCGTGTGTGACATTAGATGCTCTGCACTGCACCATTCAGTATGAAATAGCTTGAGGAATAAGAAAAATAAACTTGTGTGATTCACTGTTGCCGAGCCTTTTCTTGCAGGTGTTTTGAACTGGGCTGGGTAGCTACGCAGTCACTGTCTTGAGATTTTTTTTTTTTTTTTCCAGCTCTGCTCAAGGTCTCTCAGTTTTTTCAAGGCGTTGGTGAGAAAAGTCTGCATAGAGAGAGGGGGGAAGAAAATATGAGAATGCAACTAGAGGGTGCATATTTTAGTAGTCACAGACAAGTGTTTGAGTTCTCACTTAGTTTTATGTAAAGAATACCTTTAAATTTAGAGCATATAGGCTTTCCTCAAAGACAAAGTTCTACTAAAAATTAACTTGAAACATTCAATACGACTATATAAAAAAAGCATCTGTTTTTTGTTTCTTTTCTCTTAATAATAATCAAACCTGTATCATGATACTTTTGTTTCCTCAGCAAATCATACTTTTTATCACCATTTTTTTTTAAGTAATAGACTGAATCATCTGAGTCTTAAATGTCTGACATCCTCTGCAAAATATCTTGCAAGTGGGTTTCTAGCCTTTCTCACACTTTGGTTCTCTGAATCGAATCTGCTATCCTTGAGCTTGTGTACCATCATAGCTACCTGAATAGAGCTGCAATCTTCCTCCCTCTCCCTTGCTCTGCTCCATTGTTGCCATGCATTCAGAGGGAGGATGAGGAGCTGGGAGGTCACAGATGGAGCGAAGTGTTATGTGTGTTCCTGTCTCTGCTCTAAGTGAATGACTCCACAGATGGGATTATATTGAAAGGCAAACACAAATTTGCCGAACAATGAAAGTGCTTCAGAGGCACAAGGCCATGCCTGGCAGATCGCTAACTGTACTTGTTCAGACTTTTTCATCATCCATCTTGTTATCAGTATGCCGGGATATTTGTTTCTAATGCCCACCCTGTTGCTGCAATGATTCATGTCTTAATACTGAAATCCTATGTACTGATTTGTCATTAATATGACCACACACATGTAATACTGACTGTACTGAATACAGTCTAATTATATCATTCATGGTTTGTATGTCCTGACTATGTGCCACCGTAAAACTACATGTGTAACCATAGTGTATTCACAAACTGAAAAATGTGTGTGTATGTGTTTGTGTGTGTGTGTGTGTGTGGGGGGGGGGGGTGTAACTCACAGATAATTTCTTTGGACAAGGCTAAATGTTTTAATGGGTTGAACTCTATCCCTTCAATCCATTACTAAAACTAAAAAAGGTTATACACACAGGAGGTAGTGCCTTTCAACTGTTTAAACCAGGCAACAACACTGTATGAATGTTATCACTGAACCAGAACAATGAAGATAAATGAGGTCCACCTTGTAACAATAAGTAAGGTCTTTTACCTGCTTTTTGTAACATAACAACGCATAAGGTCTTTTACTTGCTCTTTTGTAACGTTAAAAGACAAAGAGTAAGGTATTTTACCTGCTTTTTGTAAAGTGTCTCGAGATAACACTTGTTATGAGTTGATGCTATACAAATAAAAATTAATTGATTGATTGATTGATTGATTGTTTGATTGTATGCCTCCAGTTTGTTTAAAGGTCTAGGTGACCATGCAGTGACAATAAAGGCATTCATCATTTAAATATAAGTGCCTTGTTTTTCCTTGTTCCTTGTTGAATGACATATCTCAATCCAAAG